TCTGCGTCCACTACAACGGGCCAAGCGAGAGCAGGGTTGTTGAAGGGTTTAACCAATGGAATTATATCCGCCCGGTAATGTTGGCAAACTTGAAGAAGGGGCACGTGGTTCATGAAGGGGATTTCATTAAATCCGCAGAAGCAAACTTCACGGCATACTACCAGCCGTTGATACCTTGGGTCAACAGACTACGGAAAGCAGTATTTCCGAACGGTAGGAGGTGGGGAAAAGAGGACGAGGGATTGTATGATCGGATGAGGCGGATTATTGCGGAAGCCCGAGAGGATCCAGAGGTATTGCGGAGAGATAGCTTTGCGAATTAACGTAATTAGCAGAGAGAATCACATACAGTGATCTGCGCGCACGGCTTCCAGCTCCTCCCTATTTGCCTAGTTCAACCAAAATGCAGACTGGAGTAGCATGAAAACACCCAAGTCATTCAAGAAATGGGGCCGGGTTTTGACATCTAATGCCCACGGGCGAAGTATTTGTTACTTAGGTGCAAATAGAATATACGTCTTGCTTTCTCTATTTCCATCCAAGAAACTGATTCTGAGTACTACCGAACATCTTCAGAAAACGTCGTTTTGACATCCTCAGAGACGGCACCCGGACTTCCTATTGTCGAGATTGTGGTTCGATAGTACCTCATCCGTCTCTCTGATATCCTCGATGAGTTTGTTCTCGCCGCTTAACTTGTCCCGCTCATCCTGGAGAAGCGCGATGAGGCGTCCAGATGCCCTGTTTATTGCTCTGTTTAGGATCTAGAGGAAAAGAGTTAGTGTTGGCAACCAAATTGGCTTTGAAGTCCTGCCCATGGAATGACTCTCTCCCAAGTCCAACTCCTCAACTCATGACGCCACACACTTTCCCCCAGTGGTTCTGCCTTCTTCACTCTCGCTCCCTCGACACCAAACCGACTCGGCTGTCGTTCCCGCAGTCACAACCATGAGTTCCAGCACGCAAACCCCTCAAAGCCCCCAGTGGACTCGTAACTGGCTTTGCTTCCTGGTGCAGAGCTATCGCGGGCTTCCTCTGCAATGGCCACCTCGGGCAAAAGATCGAGCTCGTCGTACAAAGTAGTGTAGCCGGCCATGACATACACACGTCCGACTTGATACCGGATGGCTGGCCGGGTCTCTCCGTATGCTTCAACGCAGTAGCTCCGGCCCTCGATGAAGTTTCCGCAGTTGGCGGTGAGGGAGGGGTTCTTTGCCGGTTAGTGGATGGGACTGGACGATTGGACTGGACGACACCAGCGGCCGCAAGTTGGACATGGCCAAAAACTAAGGACTCACCCATCGCAAAAAGTCCTTCATTTCAATGCTCCACGAGTCGGGAACCCATTCGCAGTCAAGACTTCCATCACTGTCGTACCAATAAGTGCAGGAGCTAGAACAATACGGGGGGGCTTGGGTCGCAGCGAGGGAGTGGGAATGGCATCAAGAACAGCTTGATTCTTGGGGGTGTCAACTATCCTCATCCGAGGAAGTTCATTGCGTCAGTTAGCGCGGGTATTATTAATTTGTATGTTTGCTACATGTATGTACAAGACACATGTCCTCCACTCCCTTCAGTTCCCTCACTCTCTTTTCCTCGCTTCCATTCTTTGAAGCGAGGGATGGTATATGGTATATATATATATACTACAAAACTCTTAGCGAGCTTCTCAAGAGAGCCTAATGTAGGTATGTTCATCATCAACAATATGTGATCAGCGGCCACACACACCATTAAAAGACCATGTACAGAAGAAGACTGATAATGTTTGTCTCGCTCAACCGGTCTGGTCTCTCTTGGTGACGGCGACGTTGACAAACACAGCTTCCTATAATGCCAGGGACTTCCTTTTTTTTTTTTTTTTTTTTCTCCGTGGGGAACCTGTCCTCTCTCTTCTTCTTCTTTTCCCAGGCCGCAACATCCGAATCGAAAATACTCCTTTTGAGCATGTTTTGTGTGTGTGTGTGTGCCGCTGATCCATTGCCCACGTACTCCCCGAATCATGATGATCAGTCATTGCGGTTTTCCTACCAACCCGACCTTATGCTCCCTTGTTCCTGTCCCCTTTGTGGTATCTCTCCGTTTCCCCTTTCATCGTACATGACAAGACGAAAAAAAAATGCAAAGCTATGCCTCCCTCCCTCCTTCCTTCCTTTCTTCCTTCCTTAGCATGTACAAACTTTCTGGTTTGTTGTATCCAAGGTTCTTCGATCCTCCTTGGCCCAGTTGTGGTAATATGTTTAGTAATGGCCAACAGCGCTCAACCTAACATTCTTCTTCAGCATCGAGACCGGCACGGGGAAATCGCCAGGAGAAATAGGCGAGTCAGGGCGGGGAATGCCATCCTCCTCATAGTCATCCTCCTCGGGAGCCTCAACAATCCGGTTCCGGCGCTCCGCCTCGCGGGCCAGACATCCAAAAGTCTTGGGGCTGATTTGATCTGACGTCCTCCGGGGAACACTGATGTGGTCGCGGTCCGACCGCGACGAAGCCTTTGAGCGCGAGGAGGGAGTCCTCTGAGCCCGGTGAGATCCCGAAGTCGATGACCGGCTGTTGCGTCTGGTGTCAGGGGCACCGCCTTCATAAGGCCCACCGAACGCGCCCCTCGTCAACATCTCTCCGTCGTCAAAGTGCATGAACCCATCCAGATCCGGGCTGGGCTCCGACTCACCACCGCCTCCGCCTCCCGACGATTGCCTAAGCGGTCTATCCATCATGACCAGAATCTGTCCGGAAGCATCCGACATGGTCCTGTCCGATCGCTTATCGACAGACCCAGTGCTAATGCGAATCTGGGGTCGCTGATGCCCATGCGGCCTCGCATTCAAGGCATGAGCTTCCATCAGACGCATCGTGCTAGTCGACGACTGCCTCGAAACCCTGCTGCTGCTGGTAGTGCTTTCGCTCATCATTGTGAGGCGGGGATCACGCGCATCTCGCGGATCGAGGTCGCGGTCCATGCCGCTGCCGTCCCGGTTGTCTCCGTACTCGGCGAGGATGTCCTCGCGCATGCGGGCGCGCTTCTGGCGCAGGGCGGCCAGCAACATCTCCTCCTGGCGCGTCACGGCCATGAACCGCCCGCTGGCGTTGTCCTGGATGCTGCTGGTGGTGCTGCCCCGCCTTCCTGGACCCATCCCGTCGCTTCCCAGACTTCGGCCGCTGTACACAGATCGGTTGTCCGGCGCATATGCCCCGAATGCTTCGCTGTTGCGGTTTTGGAGGTAAAAGTCGACGTCGACGCTGGTCGGCGACAGGGGTGGCGTGGCGTTTCCAGAGTTGCGGGAGGCCATCGAATTCCGTGTGCTCCGGATGCTGGGTGGGGGAGCTGGGAAGTCTTCGAACTGCATATTGTCGTCGTCGTCGTCGTTGTCGTCGTAGGCTTCCTTTTTCGACTGGGAAAGCGTACCATGCATCGCGGTCTGGGACGTGGATGTGCTGCCTATGGAGAGACGGGAAGTCTGATGAAGCAATGATGTTGCTGCCTGCTTCTTGGACGAGCTTGTCTTCTGAGAGCTGCCTCTCGAGCTTCTCCTCGAAACATCAGCTGCCGCTGCACCTTCGGGAATAGGCAGAAACTGTGTTTGTGCGCCGTACTGCGATCGCTTTGCTGGTTTAGCTCGGCTATAATCAGCCATCGACGAAGAAGGTTGTGAGGATGCGGAACGAGTGCTGGCTGGGCTCATTGGCCCCTGCTCGCCCAACCCCATTGGCACGGCCAGCGAGTTTTGTGTAGATGGCTCGTAGCTATCCTCCTCCGAATCCGATGACAAAGACAAGACGCTGTTCATCTGTAGGTCAAGCTCCGTCATGCTACGATCTGTCCGCTTCGAGGCCTTGGAAGTCCTGGTGTGACGACTCGAGATACTGGCACTGTCCGCGAGGGGTGATGCTAAGCTGGACGGCGTAAGGACACTGGATGGCGGGCCCTCTGGCTGCTTAGGTGTTTGAACCGGTCGGCCGCTCGGTGCTGGTGGGAACAGAGACAAGGAAATCTTTCTCGCAGAAGCATTCAAAGGCGGTGGCGCCGGGAAGGAAGAGACTTCTTCGTCAGGTGCCGGGCCCTCATCCAGATTTGGTGCCTCATACATCTCCTGCCCGGCCGAGTTGGCATAGGATTCCTGTTGGTAGCGTTCGTAATCACTCCTCTCGGCCCGTTGTTTCCTCGGTTGCTGGCTCATGTCCGGCGTTGTTGGCATGGCTGGCGAGTTGGTAATCATATCTGCACCCAGAACATGGGCGCTGTAATCAACCAAATCCGGCTTCAGGTGTTTGGAAGATTTGGATTTGAGTAGCCGAGAAGAGATATCAAGCATCGATGACTTCTTCTTCTTCATTCTCGCTTCGGGTACGGTCTCTTGGATGCCATTATCGAAATCAAGTAGTTGCTGGGCCTTGGAAGGTAGTTGGGGTTTGGACATGACCGAGTTTTGTGTTTGTTGCTTTTGTAGCTGGTGGTGCTGCTGCTGTTGGTCGTAGTGCGAGGCAACCGTCGAGCTAGACTGCCGTCGTTGTTGATGAGAGGTGTTGGCAACTTCGTAGTTCATGGCTTCTGGCCCCTCGTTATGCTGCCAGCCCGTATTCCTCGGGGCAGCTTCTGACTCGTTATCCCATCGCCTCTCGTGGGAAGCGGAAGCCTCATTGTGATGAGCCCTTCCCCGCCCAGCATCTCTCTCGCTATGATGAGCTGCGCTCGAAACAGGGGCGTTACTGATGACCGGGCTGGCTCTGATGTCCCATGGAGAATCGATGTTGATCTCCCCCGTGCCAAGGATCTTTTGTGCCTTGGTTAACGGGGCGCCAGAGGAGAGTGGTGCTGGTGGAGGAGGCGGAGGCACCGGCTTGGCTTTCCGGCCCGGTATGGAAAAGGGGAACTTTGATCGGTGGCCCATGATGGATTTTGCTGCTTGTGGAACAATGGAGACTCTTGACGTTGATATGCGGTTTCCGGGTTCCAGGGCGCAAAGCTCTCAAAGCAGACCCAGGCCTTACGGTCGAAAGAGCTGATCACCGAGAGAAAATCATGAGAATCATGAGAAGTGAGGCTTGGTCGGTGTGAAGTCGATGCGGCGGTGAAGAGGTTTTTTCTTCTTTTTCGGGTTGGAGAAAAGCTCGGTAGAAAAGACTTGAGTTTCTCAAGTCGCGCAAGATGCAGAACTGTCAAGGGAAGGCGGTGGAGATATGTCACTCAAAGAGTTTGCATCAAAGGCTGCAATTCCGGGATCCAGCAGCAATAAGTGTCGTCGAAGTCGGTCAGAGGTGAAAAGAGGCGTCCCGGCAATTCCGATCTAGGCAGGCTGTCATCTCTTGGGTGCAAGGGACAGCCTGACAGGAAGCAAAAACAACGAAAGGGAAATGGGATCGGGTATGTACGTCAGTGATGTGGGAGAGGCAGAAAATATGAGGAATAAGGTTCCGAGAAGTCTATTGCGTGTCCTCCTTTTTTCCTTGGCCGGCGAGCATGCGAAAATCATCGCTGTCCTGGCCCCCGGAAGTGGCAGTGGACAGGACCCCCGGTAGCGGTTTTGGAGTCGGGGGCTCCACCGAGAATGATGCTCCAAGATTGTCCAAAACGTGGTTCCCTTTGTGGTGCCGGGGGGTGGTGGTGGTGGTGGGTGGGGGGGGGAGATATCTCACCATGCTCACCCCCTGGTCGGCTACATATGTAGGAAACATGCGTACTGTGTACTCTGATACAGGTAGCGTATAGCAAAATAGGTGTGACATTTGGCGATCAAAAAGCGAAGTCCTCCAATATGCGACTCTTCAGATTGTATCTCACTGGAGATTACAAGACGGCCTTGATGAATCGGAGGTGACACAACCTTGAAGAATCTGGCAGTTTGGTAGCATCTCTTGAATGTCATTGGGTCCCAAGGGAGGCAAAAGACCAAGCAGTGTATGCCGTGTACCTTGGAACTTGATGCCACCGGTGCCACCTCTTTGGTTATTCGCCGGCAGCATTTTCCTGGAACGGCTGTTTGTCATGTTGAACGTGTGCCTGCAGAAGTGAGCTGCTGCACAGAAGGAGGACGGAAGCTCGAGGGATGGACGCCATTCGCGGTACTGTACCAGTACACAGTACGCAGGACTGAATGGGGGTAGCGTCGAGGAGCATTGGGGTCATCCGCTGAAGCCCCTGGAGATTTGCTTCATGGGTACTCCAAGGCTGGTCCCTGTATATATATTTTTTCTTTCACGAAGTCCTTTTTGAGAAAGTGTTGACATATGGCCTTTCTGGTTCCCTTTTTCTGCATGTTGAAGAGATTTTGAGACGTCCATGATAACAGCCAAGTCCTCGGGTAAGAAGAGTGATGGTTTCACATGTCCAACTCTCCAAAAACACCACCCTCGAGATTGTAGAACCCTGCATCGATAGGAACAGTAGCTGGAAAGGTGCTTATAGCGAGGAGGATAGCGAGAGTTGTTACGGAGATGTCTTTGTCAGAGATCCGCTTGCCACTGTGAGAGTCCGCGAGAGTCCATCGGGTCCGTGACAGAGGCTGCTGAACATGTCTTGGCGCTGTGATTAGGGTGAGGAGCCATGGTGGGATATCCCTTGTTGCCATCCTCTTTGATGATGTGCTCCCAGCATAGGTTGCCAGTATGGTATGAATCCGACCAGCTGGTCACCTTCTTGCGCAATTCCCACCCAGCATGATGAGTATGTCTCATCGGCGACCTGGAGGCGCCATTGGGGTATCATGGTGATATCAAGCGACGGGTCCAAAGGGTCTCGATGCGGGTTGATGGTGACTGTTTCTGGTGGACCGGAGTGCTGATCACTAACAATTAATATCATCAACACCCTGGAGGAAGATCCAGAGGGACGGCGATCTCGTGGTGCAAGTCAACCAACAAAGTGGAAAAGAAAGGAAAAACGAGATCTTGGAGATGAAGTCGACCAATGTGATCGGGCACTGTCAGACACACGAGGTTGACCGGCGTGAACTGGTGGGATATTGCAAGGCCTTGGGTGTTCTAAAAAGAGATGAACCCGACTCGAACCTTGAGATGGCCGCCTGGGAGAATGGGGAATTTTAGATTTCCCTCGCGCGACTTCTGGCTCCAACCCCGCTGTGATGTCACTGAGAGCAGTGGTGTCCCTTGGTTGATGCCCCTGTTGCCTGAACTCTGAAAGTCTACTGTTAGGTCCCTCGCTGTTTATGCCGGGGGCAGGCACATCCCGTTCTCCAACTCATGATGCCAGGGCTTTCAGGACAGGTGCAAGTGGAAGTCGAGGAAAGTTCATCTCGAAATGTCCTCAAACTGAAATCCTCAATCTTGCCGATTCGAGTCCGATAATTCCGCATCGTGGATAAGGGCCGCCTGTAACACAGGCTTGCGACTGGCCCGTTCAGCGCCCGGGCTCTTTCCCTTCGGGCCCTCTCAGTGCCGGCCAGATGCCGCAGTCCCAGTCCGGCCGGCATCTCGGACAGTGTCCGTGCTTTGTTGATTTCACCGTCATGTCAACACCAACCCATCACAAACATCTCATTAACTATCTGCAGTCTGTTGAAGATCAAGTCCGAAAAGAGGCTGAGAAATCAAGATTAAAACCCGAACACTCACATCATCACAGCAACACTATCTGGTCTCCAAGATCGTGACATTTTGCACATCAACAATCGCGGCGTTGCATCAAGCCAAAGTCCTCATCAAAAAGTTGCAGGCTTGCAGCACTGACCAACCATTGGCACGCTGACTTTTGATCCACCACCACCCTCGCTCAACTCTGTTTCTGTTTCTTTTGCATGAAACAAATTTCCCCGTGTTATCCCAAACGCGCGATACGACAACAGAATCCTGAAGCTCAAGATTACCGAGACCACCGCCAGCGACCTTGTCCACTCTGACACCGTCTCTACAATTGGTTTCAGACCGGAGAAGGTGTTCGGCATCTTCGTCAGCACCCCTCCAGCTTCGACAGGGTCTCTTCAAACTTGAACGATGCCACGTTCAAACGACAAGATCACCACCAGTCCTCCCTTTGAAGATACGAGCCCCTGTTGCTCCTCATAGAGAATTGAGGATTGAGAGCACGGACCGATTTGGCCCTACACTACAGTTCCTCCTGAACTCATCCTCAACAAGCTGCCTAGCTGCAACTAGGGCCGGTTGTTACCGAAATGAGCTGGGTCATCATCGGCCTGTTGACACGATCCATCCTTTGCACCCAGACAAGCCCTTCATGTCAACTATCGTGCCCTACCATGGGGGATCGACAGAGGACCGAGAGATCACGAGAAAGGCATGTCCCATTCTCATTATATATCTGCATGTAACCGCATGGATGGCATGTCGACAACCGCTTCCTCTCTTTGAGGTTACTATCTGTAAGTGGAAACTTTTGTCGTTGGGACTTTTGGATCGGCAGCTTTGCACTTTAGGAACACTGAAAATACACGGGAATCCATTTCACCACATCAGGCAACACTCGCTACAGCGTTTGAGAAACTCCACCAGTCGCCCTTTGATCTTGCCTCCTTCCAAGTTTAAACACAAGCGATCCTTCGGGCGTGTCTTCGTTTCTTATTCTCCTTTTTCTTGTCCTCCTCCTTCTTCCTCTCCGCAAAGCTATTTTGAGTTCGCAAGTGGATAGACGGGAACGCCTTCAAATCCAGACCGATGCCCAAATGCAGAGAGAGGGGTGGACCGTGAGATTGCGATAACCCAAAAGCCCATGTTTCCCTGTCAGGGTCACCAACACCATCAACACGTTTTGGAGACATGGAGAAGGGACGATCGGCGGTTGACTATCAGATCACGAAACTAATGACGGGGTTTATATAAGCCGTTAATTCGACCGGGAATTTTACACTCCGGGGTCCACACGCGTCCGTCGCGCGAAACGAAATCGAGCATCGTATCCGATATGCTCAGGGGCAGCTAGAGCTACAGTACTAACAGAATCTGGCGGGGTTCGCAGCTAAAGTTGTTAAGAAAAGCTTAACATTAAATCCCCCCAGCCTTGACCGTTGTTTCATGGGGTTCGGTTCCGCCATACCGGATCCGAGTTGGCGTCGTTCCTGGCTCCGTTGACCGGGCCTCCTTCACCTTTCGGCTCCGTACGTGGTAGCCGCTGCCGGACTTCCGGGACACGGGCTTGTTTTCCTGTTTCCTCCACTTCCCCGCATTGCAAGCAGTTTGGTTCCAAGAACGGTCACTGTTCCCCAACAATGTCCAATCTCCAAATCACGGCAACTCAACCCTCTTTTCTCCCTAGCGCATCGCGACATCAACACCATCTGCAACGCTCTGCGACGCTCTGCAACCATCGATCGTCAACATCTGTTCACGCAACTTGACAGCACATTGGCCGATTCGTCGCATATGCAATCTTGAGCCTCTTGGCATCTGGGGACGAGATGCAATTTCTTCAGATGTCACAAGTGTGACCTGGATGGGAATAAGATGGCGATGATGCTATGAAAGTGATGAAGGTTTGGCGCGAACCTGATTCAAGTCCGACGGTCTCCCCTCATACCGTCCTCTATTTTGAACAGAACAATCGCGAGTCGAGTGGCTTCCAATTCCAAGTTCATCCCATACGAGTGTCTCTCTTTTTCCGAGTTTTCTCTTCCTCTCTCTCCATTCTTATCTGCCTCATTTCCCCAGAAATAGTTCTCTCCAACCCACTACCCTATCTCTCACTATTTCATTCACTTCACCTCTTCCAGGCTGTCATCTCCGAGAAATAAGAACCCTTCAGGTCATCTGATAAGGTTGTCAGTACGTAAAGTCAGAAGCAAACTTCCTGGTCTTTCTATCGCCGGTTGTAGGTAGTCTGCCACTTCCTTGATATTCAAGACCAACCAAGAGAATGTCTCCGATATCTTAATGGATAGATCCACCGGCCTATCAGAGCTCCTCTCGGTCGGTCCCGTCCTCGACCTAAACCCTCACCAAGACTCGACTCTTTGCCACTCCAACTCTGCCGTCCGCCCTGTCACTTTACCTCTTATTCTAATAGCTAGCCTCTGCCAGTCTTTCGTCGGTATCAGTTCGATATCCGATATCTGATCTGCCATCTCTCACGGGGCACGAGGCATCTTCCCATCTGCACCAACGCGACCCGTACCTGTTGCTTTCAATGCAGGCATTATTTGCTGGTACTGTAATTTGCTGGCATCCTGCGTCCGTCCTTGCGGCGTTACCTTGCGGCGGAGCTTGTCCGTCTGCTAGCTCTTTATCCCCCCGGCAACATGTCTTCGCACCTGTCCATTCGGGAAGGTGAAAGCAACACCACCACGGAGAACGTGCCAACCATCTCACCAATCAACGCGGCCGCCTGGGCCACAACGTTGATGATTACAGCAAGTGGGACGGCATCACTTTGCGGGTGTTCCCTGTTAGTCGGCTGTAATTCCCCTGAATTGGTCAAGATCGCGATAAGCGGGTGTAACATGGCCGGATGCTTGATTTTTGTTTTTCTCCAAAACCATCCAGGCACTTCGCGTTCTGGTCCCCACGTGTAACATCCCGCGGCACTTTTGGGGCCGGCTCGGCCTGGTCCTCGGGTATCACTCAATAAGAGATAGTAGCAAACCTGGGGAAAGACCTTTCTTTATAAGCTCAATGGCCTGCCGCCCCGATCGACAATGACCGAGCCAGAGAGAAAGGGAGAAGAGAGCTTCAGTGGTTTGCCCTCCGGAAAGTGTCTATCTCATCCTCCGTCACTCTTTAACCCCCATCCAACAACAAGATGAAGGGCGCTCTCTGCTGGGTCGTCGCCGGCCTGCAGCCTCTCCTCTCCGCGGCCTTGTCCATCGCCGAGATCAACGGCAACAAGTACATCTCGGCCTACAACGGCCAGACCGTCAGCGACGTCACCGGTCTCGTCACTGCCAAGTCCTCTGCCGGCATCTACATCCGCTCAACCACGCCCGACGACGACGAGGCCACTTCCGAGTCCATCTATGTATTCAGCAACACCATCGGCAAGACTGTCAACGTCGGCGACATCATCACCCTGGGCTCCGCCAAGGTTGCCGAGTACCGGTCCTCCAACATGTACATGTACCTGACCGAGCTCACCAACCCGACCGGCATCACCGTTGTGTCCAGCAACAACACCGTGACTCCCTTGGTGATCGGCAAGGACACTCTCCCTCCTCCCACCGAGCAGTTCACCAGCCTCGACGGAGGCGACATCTACAGCGTCCCCAACGCTCAACAGAACATTTCTGCCGTCAACCCTGTTCTGAAGCCCGCCCAGTATGGCCTCGACTTCTGGGAGTCTCTCACCGGCGAGCTGGTCACCGTCAAGGCACCCACTGCCCTCAAGATCCCCAGCAGCTACCGCGATACCTGGGTCATTGGTGACTGGAAGGTCACTGGCAAGAACGATGCTGGGTCTCTCACCATGAGTGCCAAGGGTAAGCCTTTTTTCTTTCTCTCCCGTTTCTTTCCTTTCCCCATCCTATCTTAGTCCATCCAGAGAGAGTATAAGTCTCACAACTCAACAACAAACAGACTCCAACCCCGAAACAATCATCATCGGCGCCCCCCTCGACTCCACCAAAAACCCCACCACCACCAAGCTCGGCGACCTGCTCGAAGACATCACCGGCGTCGTAACCAACACCTTCGGCTTCTACACCATCCTGCCCCTGACCGCTCTCAAGATCAAGACCCCTTCTCCCCTGACCCCTCCCGCGACCACCTTGGTCTCCTCCGGCACCTGCAAGGGCCTAACGGTAGGCACCTACAACGTGGAGAACCTAGCCCCGACCTCGGCGCACATGCCCAAGGTCGCCTCGCAGATCGTCACCTACCTCAAGTCGCCCGACCTTTTGTTCATCCAGGAAGTCCAAGACGACACGGGCGCCACGGACGACGGCGTCGTTTCCGCCAACAAGACCCTCACCACTTTGATCTCCGCCATCAAGACGGCCGGCGGCCCGACCTACGACTTCGTCACCATCGAGCCCGTCAACGACCAAGACGGCGGCCAGCCAGGCGGCAACATCCGCACCGCCTACCTCTACAACCCTTCCGTCCTCACTCTCTCCCTCAAAAACGGCGGCTCCAACCCCGGCTCCAGCACAGACGCCAACGAAGTCCTCATCGACTCCCTCACCGGCGCGCCCTCGCTCAAGTACAACCCGGGCCGCATCGACCCGTCCAACGCCGCGTGGGAAGCCACGCGCAAGCCGCTGGTGGCCGAGTGGATCGCCAAGGACGGCAGCAAGTCGTTCTTCACTGTGAACGTGCACTTTTCTTCCAAGGGCGGCGGCACGAGCGTGCACGGCGACGTGCGCCCCCCTATCAACGGGGCGGTGGAGAAGAGGACGGAGCAGGCGGAGATCACGGCGAAGTTTATCAGCAAGATCTTGAAGGCCGACCCGGCCGCGAGGGTCATTGCTGCCGGTGACTTTAACGAGTTTGCGTTTGTTAAACCCTTGACTACTTTTGCGAGCGTGAGCGGATTGAAGGAGCTTGATGAGGCGCTTAATACGCCGGTTGAGAATCGGTATACTTAGTAAGTCTCCCTCCCCCCTTTTTTCCTCTCCAAAAGCGGGCAGCCGGCAATACTAACAGACACACCAACAACACCAACAGCTCCTACGACATGAACGCCCAAGCCCTCGACCACATGTACATCTCGCCCGTGCTGGCCTCTTCCAAGAGCAAGTTCCAGCACGTCCACGTCAGCTCGTGGGTAGCTGCTTCTGCCGTCGTTTCGGACCACGATCCTAGCGTTGCGCTGTTTGACGTGTGCGGATGCAAGGCCTCCTCCAAGAGGATTTCCAAGCTTTAATCTTTTTAAATGAGCTTGTGGCTTGAGTAGGGTATGTGAGGTGTCGGGCTTTTAAGTTCGATGATGGATGGGTTTTTTTTTGGCATATAATCATATGACTCAACATAACATGACATAATGGATATAAGCTTGTACATACATAATGAGAAATTGGAATCGATTGGGATCATGTGAGAAAGAAGGATGTCGTTTTTCTGTGTGCCTGTGGTTGGTTGATGAGGTGATTGAGGGATGTGATTGAGGGATGTGATTGAGGGATGTGATTGAGGGATGTGATTGAGGGATGTGATTGAGGGATGTGATTTGCGACACTCATTAATGAGACTCACAACGGAACAACCTAATTCAAAGAAAACCAAACGTTCTATTTTTTCCAACAACCGAAAAAAAAAATTTTTTGACAAAAGGCTGGTTAGTAACCACACCGCCAGAGCCAACGAACAACCTCTCTCTATCTAGTTGTAAAAGATTTCGAATCTCTAATCCGAAGCCCGTTTAAAATGATGATTTGATGTGATGCGATGCGATGTATTATATAGGGGTGGGGTGGGGTGGGGGGTATCACTGTCCCTGGCGTTCTATGTATGTAGCGCAGTGCAAAGGAAAAAAAAAAAAAAAAAAAAAGTATGACGAATGAGATCATCATCATCATCGAAGGTTTTAGAAACGACCTCGCTTTTTTTTTTTTGCTCCCCGTTGTCGTGGTTCGTTCTTTTTGTTGAGAGGATGTTGTTGTGAACGAATCATCGTTGTGGATCGATCGTGTTGTAATATCATCATTTCCGTCTCCCCGTCCATGGTATCCGCTGACGAGAATTTGTTCTTTATAAAAAAAAAACCATAAACCAAAACACAGAAACGCCTTTGAAAATAAGGTGATTTTACTCCTTGATGGCGGAGGCCTTGCGGACAATCATGTCCTCACGCTTAGGACCGGTACCGATGTAACAGATAGGGACACCGACGAACTCCTCGATGAACTCGACGTAGGCGCGAGCCTCCTTGGGGAGATCGTACTGTATACGGTGGTCAGTAACTTAAATGTTATCATGAAGGGATGGCCTAGACTTACGTAGGTCTTGCAATCAGTGATGGGCTTGTTCCAGCCGGGAAGCTCCTTGTAGACAACCTCAAGGCTGTCGAGGATACCGAGATCGGCAGGGAAGTACTCAACCTCCTCACCGGTCTGGGGGTCCTTGTAGGCGACGGCGACCTTGATGGTCTCAAAAGTGTCGAGGATATCGAGCTTGGTAAGGTTGAGGGCGGTATAGTTGTTGATGGCGGTAGAGTACTTGAGGACGACAAGATCGAGCCAGCCGCAACGACGCTTGCGACCAGTGCTGACACCCCACTCGCGGCCAATGTCCTGGAGCTTAGTACCAGCCTCCTCGAGATCCTCGGTCTTAAAAGGACCACCACCGACACGAGTGGTCTGTTGTCACGGAAATGTCGGTTAGTAAATCTGACAGTGACGTCATACCTTGAAGGTGTTCAAAGATTTGAAAGTAAATAAAAAAAACTCACGTAGGCCTTGACGACACCGATGATGTTGTCAATCTTGGTGGGGTTGATGGAAAGACCGGTGATGATACCACCGAGACCGGTGTTGCTGGAGGTGACGTAGGGGTAGGTGCCGTAGTCGATATCCAGCATGAGGGCGTTGGCACCTTCGATGAGGATCTTGTAGCCGCGGTCCTGAGCCTGCTTCATGTACTGAACGGCATCGACGGTATAGGGGGCGAGCTTGACGCGGTACTCCTTGAAGCGAGCAATCTCCTCCTCGACATCGTACTTGAGGAGATCACCGAATCTCTTCTTGTAGCCGTTGGCGAGTTGCCTGAGCTTGCGCTCGAAGATCTCCTCGTTGAAGATCTCGTGGATTCTAACACCGGATCTCTGTGTGTGGCATAGTCTTGTCAGCGATCTACCTTGGGTATATTGTGTGTCCGCGTCTTCGGAGGTTAACATACCGCCATCTTGGTGCTGTAAGAGGGACCGATACCACGGCCGGTGGTGCCGATCTTGCGGTCACCAAGCTCAACCTCCTCGAGACCATCGACGGCAGCGTGAAGGTCGAAGTCGACGTGGCAGCGGTCGGAGACGAGGATACGGTTGTGGACATCGGTGAGGCCCTTCTCCTCGAGCTTGCTGAGCTCGCTGAAGAAGCTAGGGACGTGGAAGACAACAGAGGAACCGATGAGGTTCATGCAGTTGGGGTTGACGAGACCCGAGGGGAGAAGATGGAAGTCGTACTCGACGCCATTGGCGACTGCGGCACGGCGGCAATGTCAGTATTCTGAGAAGGGGACATTGTGTCCCTGGAACACCAAGGCCCATCCGGGACGGGAAGCCATCAAGGTTCACGTACCGATGGAGTGACCAGCGTTATGGCCGCCAGCGGCTCTGGCGCAGATCTGGGCCTTGGGGCAGAGGATGTCGGTAAGCTTTCCTGTACGCCGGGTAGGTCAGTCATGGTGTATCGATCCATCACGCTCGTTGTGTCTATATAGTGATGGTGTAGGTCGAGATCGGGGTCGTGTATCGATGCTGGTTGTAATGTGTGACTGGTATCGCCATGTTTGTTCCTATGTATCGTACCTTTACCCTCGTCGCTATAACAACACAACAACAACAGACGGTCAGCTTATTTCCGTAAATGTGCCGGGACTTGTTCAGCTCGAGAAGTGGATTCAACTTACCCCCACTGGGAACCAAGAATGATAGTGGCCATCTTGATGGATTATAATGAACAACAAAAGCTGTTAGGGAAGAAGTAGTGGTTGATAGTATTAGCACCTTTAGGTCACCCTCAAGGTACGGAACGGAGTTCAAACGACGAAACCAAGAAAACGAGCGGGAAAGAGAAATGGCGCGGTGGGCGGACCGGCTTGAAGTCTAGAAAAGGCACTTGCAAAAGATTTCAATTGCGGGGGTGGGGTTCTTTCTTTGCGCGGCAGCCAGCTCCAGCTGTGGCAGCGCGGTTTTAGGCGCTCGAACCGCAATTGTGCTGTCGGGTCGGGATTCCCGTCTTATCGAAGGCTGCCAAACTTGACTCATATCGCTCTTGACAGTTGACTCGTCTGGTCATCCCATGTCCACTGTCAGGGCTGGAGCACATGTTAGCGTACTTGGTGCGGTAATGCTGTGATGCTGTGTTCCATGGGATGGCGCAAGTGACTCGACTCCAGGTTGCACACAACTTTGATGACCACATCCACATCGGATTAAGACGAAGTTGGGAATATCTCTCAGTTACATTGAAACGACACTGTCACGCCTTTTCTTCCATTCATTTCCAACCTCAATATGTGCATTTTATACGGTACTGTACCTACTGCGTCAGTTGTTTTCCTGGCCTTCAAACCCCTAACGCCCTAACAATAAAAATAGACAGCCCTGAACACCGTTCACACTAGACCTAAGGTTTAGGTAAGGGACCCACGTCTCCGGTACAGGAGGTGGAGTTGCATGAACTGGCGGCTGTGGCTCAGTTACATCAGGCATGTGATTGGCCAGTTGCTGGCATTTTTACCGGCTCCTCCAATGATTCTCGTCCCAAGTTGACTAACACTTTTCCCATACTTTCTCCTTGTCCACATTGAAAGTTCGAGGTGGATATAAACACATCACTGGCATGTTCTAGCCTTTGACTGTTTGTCAGAACCTTGCTCTGCCCAGTTGTGTATCGAGCACCACGATGAGCTAGCAGGTTGCCGATATTGGTTTTGTTCAAGTGCGAGGTACAGAGTATGACTGCTCTTTCTTCTCCAACCTGTCCATCAAGACCTTGTTCATGGCCATCAATCGCGTGCTCAAGTCTTCCTGCCACTCAATCAAGTGCCTTTGAGCAGCCCGGAGTTTCTTCGTATCCATCTTCCTGTACCGCGTCTCCCAGGCCGCGATCCTGTTCGCATGCGGTGTGTTGGCATCGATGCCTGGCAGGCCTCGGCGTGGCAGGACCGGAAGTTCACCGTTGTCCTGGTGGACGATTTGGGCCTCAATGTGTGGATAGTCCGAGAATGGTGTATAAGCCGCCGGAGAAGCGGATGAGACGGATGCGAGGAATGCCGGATGCACTTGGCCGGTGTTGCCAAACTGCTGTCCATACTCGATCGGCTGTCCTTCTGGTGGTGGCGGCGGGGACATGAGCGAGGGATTCGACGTCTGCGGCCTCGGTTGTCCGTATGCTTCTTTTGACTTTTTCGGGAGCCTGCCAGCTGGGTTGCGAAAACTGCACACGGAACCCTGGCGGCCATACCAGCAGTTGGCACAGGCACCACCCGTCAGTTTGGCATCTTCTGAGTCTGCAAATACCACGCAGCCAGCAAAGGTTCCGCCCACGTAACTCTTCTTGATTTTGACTCCTTTGCAGCGTGCGCAAGCTTGCTCGTCCGGCACCAAATGACTAGTAGCTTGCATGAAATAGGCGCTGAAGTTGTCCAGTTTGTTGTCCACAAAAGGTTTTTCGAGAATCGGCGTTCGTTTTATGGGACGATCAGCCAAATGCCGAGCGACAGGCGGGAGGTGATGGGGCAATTGAAAGTTGGGTAGAGCGTGCGAGAATAACTCGACAGGCGCTGGCGTTACACTTTAGTATGTTGTTGATGACAGATTAAGGGGTGGTTACTCACTCATGCCGACAAGATCTGGATGTAAAGGAAATTTATCTGCGGAAGGATAAGGAGGTATGTAAGGGGCGATGCGTTCCGACACAACAAATCGTCCTGACGCGGTGCGGTTAGGGAAAGTGCCGAATCCTACGTCAAATGTCAGCTCGTTAGACGGAGATCTCGGAATTCAGCGATCCAGATGCCGGGATGCTTGCCTTGGCCCTCTTCGTCCTCGTCCTCCTCCTCGGAGCTTGAATCTTCATCTTCTTCATCCGATTCCTCTTCATCCTGGGTCTCATTCCTTTGATCAAGTCTCGGATACTTTGCGGCCATACCACTTGTGAGGTCATCCGTCGGTGCTCTTTTCGCGTTGTTAATGAGCTGGCCTGCGACATGGTTCGCGGATGTTCCAGCATTCTGAGCAGTAAGGCGTGAGGCAAGCACACCCATTGCACTTTCCCGTAACAGCTGGAGTGAGTCGGATTCCGGAGCGGCTTCAACCTTGACTGAACCCGAGTCCGAGACCTCATCCTCGTCGGAACTCTCATCGGACATGTGCGGTAGTGGTGGCGGCATGGTGTGGGTTTGTGATGTTTCGTTGAAATTCCGTCAAGCTCACAACTGTTGCCCTTCAATTTGAGCCGGTCAATGATCCGAAATGTCCTGTTGTTTCTGTTAGCCTGTGTAAATGGTGGTGATAGGTGCCTCTCTGAAAGAGGACATATGATGGCACGGACCACCAAGGGGCAACGCGTCCCCGTTTGCTTCGCGAAGTACGAGACTCGCGATAGTGGTCAATATGAAGATCCAAAAGCTGAGAGATTCCTGAGATATCCGTGGAGCCAGTTGTGTGCTTATCACTTGGGCGCATATGTTGGTGTTAAAATGGACCCCCTTCTGTGACGGGAGTTTCCCCAAATCCAAAAAGATGTCGTCGCGAAGATGCAATGCAGCCGTTTGTCTTTCAGTTTTGGATGTCTGTTATGGAGGTACCCTTGTACCGGGTCTCTTGAAGCTATCCAATCATGTGCGCATGCAGAGCAGGATTGCTCCACTCCGGCTCGTCTTATCGTGGAAACTCAACTGCAATGGACTTCTTTTCTCCTTCTCATCTCAAACACCAAATCCCGTCCATCTTCTCCAGTTCCCCCAACATCTTCACCCACCAGGTTCTTCTCTCACAAATTATCCATTCTTGCGTCTACGTCTCCAGTAGTCAATTCGCCATGTTGTGAGTGATCACGCAGCAGTCAATTGACCAAAACTCAAATAATTATTCGGAATCAACATGAAGACCATACATATCTTTGCCTGTCCCCACAACTGGCAAGTGAGATCATGAGGGATTGCTCATGGATCTGTCCGATTCGGAGGGTCTCGAGCTGGATATGAGTATCCATCCGCTCGATGGGCTAGACGAGCACACGTGAGAACGCCCACCTTCGCTTCCAATGGCCACAAAACTCGAAGTGTACCACCACATTCAATGTCAACGGGACTTGATCAACCTCGGATCCAAATACTCAAAGTAGCCCGAGCTTGCTTACGGGGAACGCGGGATGATATAAAGTGGCCACCGAGCCCACCGCCCAGCTGAGGAACGCCTCCGATAACTATGGCTCAAGTCGTGTTACATTTGAGGGGTCTCATCATTCGGACAGCGTCATGGCCGGTCAAAATGCGTCCCATGGGTTGCAACCATATTCACTTTATCAGTGCCACATTCTTGCTTGACCCGGAATCACAGTCGGAGATGCTGGGGCTGGATCAACAGGATTCAAATGCGCTGGACGGGAAAACGGAAGCAGGCCGACATGATGATGTGCCGTCACACACACCTCGCTTACACCCAATCGGACTCTTTGGCCTCGAATTTCGGACTTGATGTTGACAACGACTCGCGTCGAGTATATTTATATGAGAACCAGCCGTCACTTCTTCCCTTGACCATGGTCCCATACGCAGCGCTCACCGAAACTACAACATGGTCAAGTCACGGTCTTCCTGGTCTTGTCGCTTGCCGGCTCTGATACGCACATTTCTGATCCTCTTAACCGCTCCTCTCCTGGCCATCGCGACCGCAGACAACAAGGCCAGAGAAACCCCATGGATCGGCTGGGGTGGCAGCAACTACAACAACCGTTGGGCCTCGACTAACTCCAAGATCTTTTCTTCCAACATCCGCAGCGTTTCCGAGCACTGCCATGTTCCCGGCTATGGAGGTGGTATAACCGCTACGCCTTCCGTTGCCGAGGGAATCGCCTACTTCCCCGCCTGGAACGGCTCACTCGTAGCCTTCGACTACACCTCCTGCAAAGTCAAGTGGGACATCAACGTCACCCAAGTGATCCTCGACTACGCCCCCGTCGACCCCCTCCAAGCCGCCGTTGCGCCCTATCCAGTCTCTCGAACCACCCCTCAGCTCGATCTAGAAAACAACATCATCTACTTCGCCACCCTCTGGAACGCCCTCCTCGTCGCCGCCGACCTCAGGACCGGCAAAATCCTCGCCAAGCACCGAATCAACGCCCACCCCTTGGCCCAAGTCACCCAATCCCCCACCCTCCTAGGCGACATCGTCTACTCGGGCGCCTCCTCCGCCGAAGAAAGCGTCGGTTTCCTCCCGGGTGTCAACTACACCTGTTGCACCTTCATCGGCAACGCAATCGCCGTCCGCTTCAACCGCAAAGCCCGCAAATTCACCACCCTCTGGGACGTCCCCATGATGCCTCCCAACGACGACCCCTCCGAGCCAGGCTTCTGGTCCGGCAGCGCCATATGGGGAAGTCAGCCGTCCATCGACCCGAAACGCCGCACCATCTTCTACGCAACCGGTAACCTCTACAGCGTTCCCGACCCATGGCTAGCTTGCACCGCCGACCCAGCGCACCCCACATGTGAGCTCCCCTCGAGAGTCTGGCAAGAAGCAGTCGTAGCCCTCGACCTGGAAACCGGAAACGTCAAATGGGTGCGCCGTCTAGGCGTCCTAGACGCATGGAGCGTCGCCTGTCTAAACGCTACTTTCGACGCAGGTCTGTGTCCGCAAACGCCCGGTCCAGACGCAGATTTCGGTATGGCGCCTGCTTTCGTCCCCGGCAAAGGCAAAAAGGGCAAAGACGTTGTCGTAGTCGGGCAGAAAAACGGAAACCTCTACAGCTTGGCAGCTGACACGGGCGATCTCGAGTGGGCGGTGTCTACCGGCCCGGGAGGTCAAGGAGGCGGGTTAACCTGGGGAATAGCAGTTGATGACCGACGGGTATATTACGTGACGGTAAACTCGGAGGGTGAGACCTGGACTCCTGCGCCGCAGCAACCGCAGTCTAGGTCGGGACCTGCCAAGAGTACCAACGGGAGCGCGTACGGAGCCGCTGACTTGGAGACGGGGGAGATCTTGTGGGAGACGCCGGCGCCGGATAATTGGCTGGTGGGAAATCCGCCGACTGTTGTGGGGGATTTGTTACTGCTTGGAAGGAAGGTTGATACGCCGGCGCAAGGTCAGCTTGTGGTGTTGAAAAAGTCAACGGGGGAGATCATCTTGGACAAAGCGCTTGACTCCCACTTCACGGGCGGGATTGCGGTGGCAGGAAAGAATCTGCTCTTTGGGACGGGCTTTCATGGGGTGATTCCTGGATCATTCTACGTCTTGTCTGTGAACTAGGAAAACGTTCACAGTTCATGGCACGTGGGACGAGCAAATCCACACAGGTAGCGGACATGTGACGGGAGTGTACAGACATGGCAACAAGCTGTCTCCAACCTCTTGAACCAAGACTAGCAATTGCTTGTTCAACTCCGCATTGTAGTCACATGCAAGTAAGCATAACTGGCTATGGTAGTTGACTGATATTAAGATGTGCTCGCATATCCAGGGCAGGCTACAGGGTACGGAAAGGTAAGGTAGGATTGCATTACAGAACTTTAAGAGTACGAGAAACTAACATGCGTTATAAGTACCTAGCTAATCATCACTTCATTTCATAAGCCTCGATCAAGCCTCAAGCTAAGAGAAAAATTCAACCAACCAACAAAACACCCTCTCTCCTTCGAAACGAATAAATATCCAAATCTCCGACATACTACATCCAATCCCACTCAATGCCAGTTGACGACACCATTGTTGGTATGAACATACGCAACAGCAGCAACAAACATACCCACATTATCCGCACTCGGGATGATATCGCGGAGCCCATCCACTCTGCCTATATACATCGTGCCGACCGTGTTCAGGTTATACACCGACACATCATTCAGCGGGCCCTCCAACGAGAAGATGTTCTTCTGGCAGTTCCTAGCAGCAATGCACGTCTCCTGGTCGTAGTTATCGAAGAAGCTGTAGAGGCCGGCGCCGTACACGCGAACACCCCTGCTATTCACGATCCTCAATCCCCATCCGTCCTGGCCGAGGCCAAACAGGGGATCATGGAAGCGGGGATCGGCAGGGAACGGCAACCGCGCGTCGGGGTTGGGCTGGTAGTACGCCGTCTCGGTCTGGATCTGGCCCATCTCGATGTTGTTCGTGTTCCACAGCTGGTACTCGTACATCTGATGATGCTCGGCGCTGGTGCCGATCAGCCAGATCTGGCCCACGACGGACTCGATCAACAGGCCGCGGCCGACGTACACGGTGATCTGCGAATTGTTGGCTTCGTCCTCGATGTCGTGGTCCGCCACCCAGAACCAGCAGTTCTCCATGTACAGGCCGGACGAGGGCGCCGTGATGTGCATGCTCATGAAGGCGGCGATGCAGTCCTCGTTGATGTTGGTAGGAATGTTGGCATCGGTCAGAGGTGTCTTGGCGCACTGCGCCAGCTGAAGTTCGGAGCCCGCGAACCCGCCGATGCGCACGTGCACGTCCCACATGCCCGAGGGACCGCCCTGGGCACCAGCACTGGCGAGGTTATACTGGATGCCAATGGCGCCGGCCTGTTGGCCGCGCGTGGACACGATGGTGTCAGACCACTCGATTCTGCCCGGCTGGCCTGGAAGACCAATTTGTACGACGGGCCTGGGGATGAGAAGGTTGTTGAAGTAGGGACCGGCGGAAACGATCTGCGGGTACGCCTCGCCTGTGATGCGGGTGCCAGGGCGAATGAAGACGGTGCTGGTGACGATGTACTGTCCGTGGTCGATGTAAGCGACCTTGCCCTGCTCGGCGGCGGCAGCGAAGAGGCGGTTGAGCGCGAGGGTGTCATCTGTCTCACCGTCGCCAGTGGCGTTGAAGGAGCGCGCGCTGAGGAAGGAAGAGGCGGGCAGCTCGGTGTAGAGAGGCTTAGAGCGGGCGTAATAGCGGCCATCGGAGCCAATCAGACTGGCAGGACGCGCGAAGGGGGTGAAGGTGCCCGTGATGGGAGTGCCGGGAGTGTTGTTGAGGGCGGTGGCCGTGTTGTACTCGTTGCCCTTGCCCCAGGCGGTGATGACAGTGTTGGTGGGCGTGCCGACGAGGGCAACGCTTCCGGCGCCGTCCTCGTTGCGGATGGCGACGGGGACGTTGTCCAGCGCAATGTTCTCGAAGATGAAGTTGTTGACGGATCGCGTGTCCACGGCAGCGGCGGCATTGCCAATCCGGATGCCGATGGGGGTGTTGCGAATGGAGCTGTCGAGGATGGTGATGGAGCCGACCGAGTAGAGACCCAATGTGTTGGGGCCGTCGCTGACTGCGGTGAAGTCAAAGCCAACGCCGCAGTTGTTGATGCTAATGCCTTGGTACGTCCAGCCCCAGGACCAGATCTGCCGGATGGCGGTCTGGACGTTGTTGAACACCAGGTTGCGCATGGTGAACTGCTGGTTACCAACTTGAAGACCATAGCGGCCACCGTTGAAGGTCAGGTCGCCGAGGTAGCCACCTGATCCCTCCTCCATGAAGATGCCCTGCTGCGTTGTCTCGGGGTCTGTGGACATCCTGAACTCGACGTTTGTGATGGAGGTGGCCTGCGAGGAAGGCCAGTGGATACCTGCCAGACCTGCCCTAGGATCTGTGGTTGGTGGCGCAGCTATCATGTCAATGACGAAGTTGGAAATCTGGCGCCAGAAGACGTTGGTAGCGGTCCAGGCTAGTTCACCACCATCCTGGTATGGGTTGCTGTCAACGACATAAAGCCCAGTGAAGTTTCCGCTGGCCTTGATCACGGGCCGGCACCTTGCGTTACCGATGATCTGGGTGTAGTAGAAATCTCTGATGGGTCGGGAGACGAGATAGGTGCCAGGCGGGAAGTAGACGAGAGCCGGAGTCGTGGTGGAACCATCACATCCAGGGCCGCATCGGTTGCCGGAGCTGATAGCGGCGTTGATGGCGTCGGTGTCATCGTTGATGCCATCGCCTCGGGCGCCAAATTCCTTGACGCTGCGGAAGACACGATAGTTCGGAACAGTGGCATAGGGAGCGAGGCCTTGGTGGGCAATGTTTTCGAGCCAGTAGTCGCTGCAAGCAGTCGGGCTGGCAGTGGACGTGGTGGAGGTGGTGGTGGTGGTGGTGGCGGTAGTAGTACCAGTAGTTGTGGTGGTACCAGTAGTTGTAGTGGTGCCGGTGGTTGTGCTGGTGTCGGTGGTTGTGGTTGTACTAGCGCCGGCGGTGGTGGTGGTGGTGGTAGTTATGGGTGAACTTCCATTGCCATTGTACGGAGGGAAACCACCACCGTGGGTACCGTTGCCGTTAAACGGGGGTAGCCGTGAGTGCCGTTGGAAGAAAACCCGGGGGGTCCGCCATGGCCACCACCCTGGCCTCCGCCATAGCCATCACCAGTTCCATTGTAATAGCCTCCTCCTCCGGGACGACCACCATGGGCACCAGCATGATGACCCATGCCATGATTGCGAGGACCGTGCGGGTGGCAGGGAGAGGCAACCACACCCGAAACTGGAACAAGAGGGAGAAGCCCTATTAGGGCAGGGAAGAACGAGTGGCTGCGCATCCTGAAGAAAGTGTGCAAAGAGTGACTGGATGCGACGAGTGAACTATCTGGTTAGCATGAAGAGAAAATATGATGCCCCTAGTCCCGGTAAAGACAAGAAGATGATCTGCTCTTCTTCATCAGGAAACGGGGATGGGAAGGAGCGGATCTTACATGGCTTTAAAGGAGATTCAGCGGGTCACTGATGCGCGCAGGTTGTGCCCATGGGGAAGGAAGTCGCGAACCCAACAATGATCGATCCGGGGAAGGAACTTGTTGAAGAGCGGAATTCGAGACAATGGGCAGGGGCTTGGGAGATTTGCATGGACATAGCATGGGCCAGAATCCCAAGTGGCAGGGCAGTCAGTCAGTCACCATGGGAACGGAGAACGGAGAGGAGATGATATACAAATCTCAGCTTCATGCCTAACAAGCCTCGAAAAGACTGGCCAAGGCATTTGGACATGGTGACAATGAATGCAGGTCCCGTCCATTACGTCCACCACACCCTCAGGCACTTGGCTCGTGATGGTGTGGACGATTGTCGATCACCTTCAACTACCCCTGCATATTTGCATCCTCTCGGAGAAAAAAAGAAAGAGGAAAAGCAATTCGACTGCGAATCCCTTCACATGGTGGGCTTTCAAGCCTAGGCCTATGACACGTTGTATCCCTTCCCAGCTTTCAGTCAGCTGCCTCCGCTATCTTTCCATATTCACATTTCCTCTCATTTATCAACAGTTTTCAGCGGTCAAGTAAGTGTAAGTCACTTTCATCATTCAATCTACACTTACAACCGGCACTCGAAATTCGAGAATCCATCCCGCCCACATAGTATGTCATTTTTTCCAGGGATAAGCCAGCCACAAGCCTTTCCAAGCGGTCCCAAGCGGTCCCAAGCCATGAAGCCGGAAGGAAGCTAATTCCCGAAGAGGACTCATTGATGTCAATGGGGAAAATAAAGAAAGTTAAGATTAGCGACAAGGGAGTGGTGAACGAGACAGGGGTTAACACTCAAGAGGCAATGGACAGGGGTAGGTAGGACTTACAAGACACCAACAGACGCGGTCTGCTCAGGTACACGCACACGTCCCGATTCCCGTACCTACTTCAACCAATGGGGACCGGCTCCAGACCTCCTTTTGCTCAACGAGCTCACAAAAGTTTCTGGGCGAGAATGAGGTCGACAAATATTGGTGTAAGCTTTTCTTGGTGATTTCCAGACGCCCGTCTTTGTTGTGAGAGGTGCAAGAGGCTTTCAATCCAGGTACGCGTCAAGTGTTGTGCCCCTTTTTTTCCTTCTTTCTTTGTTTTGTGCTGTGCTTTTTTGGCCCTCCTCCTCCTCGTGCATGTCACAATGCTTTTTTTGCCCTCGATTTGTCATTTTAGGAAGCAGACGTCACTTTGAGGTAGGGACATTGTATTCCGACTGGGCAGGATGGCAACTCTTGGCCGCTTGGAAAATTCGTATTTCTTTTCAAGGCGTTGTGATGTGTTCTGCCCGCTTCACACACTTGCATCTATTGAAGGCGGATGGGAACCCGTGATGGGTGTGGCGCACGCGGGCTCGGAGCGTGATTCGGCGACACTGTGAAAGCCTCAAGTCAACGGCAAGGAGAAGCCGATTCCCGACAACGGATGCGGTGCCAAACCCGGCTTTTAGTCGGCCTGACGGATGGTAAATATTCCGTGGTAGGTTCAACGCGGCATTGGTTGTCGCCATGTCCAATCTCTCCTTTCATGGTTTCGAGTTGTGATACCTACCCTGGTGACATGGACGAATCTGATGCAAGTTACAATATTGACTCAAATTCAACGCCGAAGCAGGAGGTATGGTATGGCATCCTTGCACGATCGGCGTCAAATTAGCACGCATGTCTGAAGATTAAACAGCCACCTTGGAAGTTTGTCCCGGCGGCGATCATCGAGAAGTTTATGTCGCTACCCATTGCTTTGCCGCTCCGGATTCCGATAATGGTTCACAATGCATGAAAGCCGCAAAGTCCAATGGAATTCCTTGGGATGTGTGTTCAGTGAATCACACGGTTCCTGCATTGGCTCTTGTACAACGGCAAGCGGGGGTGGTGTTACCTCACCTCATGATGGAAGGACAATTTCAGCCCCAGTGCCGGGTCGCGGGGTTGAAAGTGAACTGAGGGGGTCTCATGAGAACGAAGGCCTTGCAATACTCGGGAAGTCGTTGCCGTCACTGTTGATTGCTTGCGGCTCACCCCCGCTCTCTACAAATATCATGGGGAAGCTGCGATGCAAGATCTTCTGCCCTAGGGATCGAGTTCCCGGAGCAAACATGTAGTTTTGCAGGGAATTTCATCGTGACACGGCAGAACCTCAATATGGGGAACGGCGGCGAATCCATTCAGTCATGAGCGCCGTGGGAATTTGTCATTCACCGGGGTTCCCAAGCACTGTAGACGATGCATGTGCTCTTCATGAAGAGCCGCAGTGATATTGCCGAATCCGGTCAATGGCACCAGACATCAACGTTGAGTCCTGGGGTTCCAATATTGATCATGGTATGGTTTTGGCTTTGGCTTAAGAAGGAACGCGAATAACTCCATTAACCTTTCTCGGAATACTGACCGGACCTAACAGAAAGCACATTCCACAACCAAAACACCACAACATCGCAACGCGTCGAACATGAAGTTTTTGAGACAACAACATTCCACCTCCGCTACCTCGCCTTCCCAATGTCTCGTTCAAAACAAACATTAGGTGCCTACTCAACAGCATTTAAGGCACTCAATGACATGACACAACCCAGTGTCATGACTGAAACTTCTTCTTTTTCATCCACACAACATGCCCCCTACTATACCTCCATCGTCCAAGCGCGACACACCACTGACACGGCATGCCAGAAGGGCCGCCACGTTCCGTCACTGTGTAGTCGCAGTCGCAGTCTCCTAGCCTGACGTTGACTTCTTCTATGAGTGGGATAAGTCGCGATGTGGGAGCAGGCATGATGGACGGAGCCTTGAAAGATTGTCCAGCACATTTTCGTTGTAACAAGCTTGTTTTGACTGTGCAAAAAGATTCAGGGAGATGAGGTAGGTAGAGGTAGCTGTTGTTCCATGGTTAGCCTGCTTCTTTTGGAATACCCGTGTATTGCCCCAATTGCCATGCGGCTTTGTGGTCCGGATTTACAGGTTCTGCCTTCGAAACTGGCCTTAGGCCTACCCGTGCTTTTCACACAAAGTTACCTACCCACAAAAAATCAAGGTGAGGATAAGGAAGGGGCACTTCTGACCTCGTAGGATAGTTGCCCTGTCTATTCGCCGGTGCGACGGAGTGAGTGTTGAGCGTCAACCTAAGTTTGGAACTGCATGCGAACCCTTCCTTCGACAATGATTTCTGATCGCGCCTTACAAAGGCGTGAGGTTTCTTGCCATTTTGCTCGTGAATCACGATGGTTGAACGCGCCGTTATAATACAAGTAAGTTCATCAAAACGAAACCTTAAATCTAGGAGATAATAAAGTCCATCACCGGTGCAAAAAGCGTTTGTTCGATTTTTCAAAAGCCATGTGTTGCATTGTTCGACCGTTCCTCTCTTTCCCGTCATTGTTCGTCCTCTCCCCTACTCCCCCAGAAAGAAAGAAAAACACACTCATTCTGGGACAGTAACAAGACCCCAGAGCCAGCAATCATTTTATTGTTGAATGCCACCCAAAAAGATAACCGTTGGGTGACAGAAAGGATCTTACCAGCAACGGAATCTGATGATGTGGTGCAAGCTTCAACGACAGACACTGACCGGTGTTGGTCTTCCACGGGTTGCTAGTGATACCTATAGGAGGCTTAGAGAGTATAGTAGACAACTCCCATATTCATGGCTTCAAGTGGTTAATTGAACGGATTCAATTCGATCCCCAAAACATTCCTTGTTGTGTCCATCGTCATGGCCGCACACGAGTACATGTTGCTGCTCTCTTTATTGCCCTTCATAAGTCAGTCAGCTTGACATCACTTCAACAACCAATCACAAGGGCGTGTGGCTCAGTTGGTAGAGCGTTCGCTTAGCATGTTTCACCGCATGCGAAAGGTCCTGGGTTCGATTCCCAGCTCGTCCACTCCTTTTTGCATTTTCTTTTTTGCTTCTTTATCCTCCTCCCCGCTCCTTGTCTTTTGCTCTTTCCTTTTTGCGCGCCGAAAATGAACAAATGCGTAACACGAACAAACTCGTCCAGATGTATGCATGATTTTATGAATGCGATGGAGGTCTGATAGACGATGCTTTCGGTTTGTTACGTAGTGAAAGGCAACGAAGAATTTGAACCTAAATTTCCATTGCTCTAAGGTTACCAGAGCTGTATGTAGTTTTTGCTTTCACCTTTCTGAACGAAACTCATCATACTACTCTTTATGGAGTTGGTTTCCCTTTCTTTCCCTGTCTTTATTTTCAATGAATGAAGCTCCTGCTTTTCAACCCACTCATGCATGAATTGCTGACCTGAATGTTTGTTTCCATTTCGTGAACGCGATGTATCGCTTCAAAATGGAACGAACAACTGCCATAGCTATACCACAATCACAATCATATCAAGAAAGGAACTACCAGACAGCGAACGGCATAATATAGCATTGGG